GGTAACTATACAGTTAAAAAGCAAAAAAGAAACATTTCCGATTTTGTTGAAAAGGTATATTTTGTCTATTTTAGTATAAAGTTGGGTGATCAAGACAAGTCTTGGGCCCCACACAAAGTTTGTTCAGTGTGTGTTGAATAACTGAGACAATGGTTTCAAGGTAAAAAGCAGTCATTTCGTTTTGGAATACCAATGGTTTGGAGGGAGCCCACAAACCATAGTGATGACTGCTATTTTTGTTCTTGCAACGTTCAAGGTTTCAATTTGAAAAACAAAAGGGATATTTCTTACCCTAACATCAAATCAGCCATTCGCCCTGTTCCTCATGGACCTGAAGTACCAATACCCTCTCCTCCAGTTTCTTTGGACGGTATTTTAGATGACCACGAGCCATTGGCTCAGCTAGGTGAAAGTAAAGAAGACAGTGATGGCTACGATCCTGGCACAACCGATCCCGTTCCATTCTCACAATCTGAACTGAATGATTTAGTTAAAGACCTAGGTCTTCCTAAGACTCGGCAGAACTTTTAGGGTCTAGATTAAAAGATAAAAATATGTTGGCTCCGGGTATGTTCTTTTCTTGGTATCGTTCCAGGGAAAGAAGTTTGTATCTTTTTTCTCTCAAGAAGGTGACTTGGTGTTTTGCAGTGATGTTCCTGGACTTATGGCACGTTTCAAAATAGAATATGCTCCTGATGGGTGGAGACTTTTTATAGATTCTTCAAAAAGAAGCCTTAAAGCAGTGCTTCTACACATTGGCCATAAGTATGCTTCTATGCCAGTTGGACATTCTGTTCACTTGAAAGAATGTTGTAAAAACCTCGAACTGGTTTTAAACAAACTTTGCTATTCAGACCATAAATGGACACTATGTGGTGATTTGAAAGTGATCTCAATGCTGCTTGGTCAACAAAGTGGTTATACAAAGTTCCCTTGCTTTCTCTGTGAATGGGAGAGTAGAGACAGAAAGCAACAGTACATTAAACTACAAGACAATCGTCGCAGACATGCTCGACAACTTTAAGAAGCTGGGATGTACATAAGATGAGCATTAAAGTTCATTTCCTCCATTCACATCTAGACTACTTCCCTGCAAACCTTGGTGATGTAAGTGAAAAGCAGGGTGAAAAATTCCACCAAAATATCAAGAAAATGGAAAGGAGGTATCAAGGAAGATGGAACGTCAACATGATAGCGGACTACTGCTGGATGCTCAAACGAGATGACCTTCAACGAGTACACAGCCGGAAAAGCAATAAAATAAGCTTCGACGGAAAGCAAAAGCGTTACTATAAGGACTTATGAGCTTAAAGAGAAATGTAAGTGTACTATTTAGATATGTAGTTTATAACATGTATTATACATGAAATAAAATCCTTTAACTTAAGAAAAAATTTGAAAAATTGCTAAAATTTTGTTATTATACCAAAAAGTAATTCCTTTTTTGTGAGAAAACCTTACGTGATAGAAAAAAATGGATTGCATTGTTGCTATTAGCGCTGAAAAAATTCATAAAAATCAGTTATGAAATTCCAAACAATTTGAAAAAATATTTTTTTTGTAAACCTGTGATATTCATAAGTTTCAATAAAATAAATGAAAGCTATTTTAATTTTAGTATTTTAGATTTCTCATACTTACTCCGGAAGGTTTTGTTTATTATATTTGAACTTCTATTGTCAGTTTTTTAAAACGAGTTTTGACTGAGTGACATTGTTTGATACTGAATTGTTTGTATAGCTGTTAGTAACGTAAGGTATTTTGTCTTTGTTTTATTTGCAATTAAAGAAGTACAGTGTCGGATATGTTAAAAATTGGCTACAGCTTTTTTATTGTTATATTCTTTTACATAATTGTGTAAAAAATTTAGAAAGAAAGGGACGATTTAATTGGAAAATAAGGCTTAGCATATAAATTAAATTTTTAACTTTTTAAACCTTTTATTTATAACCATTTCCATTGTAACTGTATAGTTAGTTAAGTGATATGATAATGTATGATTTTAAAATATTAAAAACTTAAAAGTTGGCTGTAAAAACGTGACCAGCTTAGTACCACGTGCTAAAGTTTTTCATAAAAGTGAGAGATTCCTAATGAAAATTCTAACGATTAACTTGAATGAATACACTATTCATTGAATTAATATACTTTTAACAATGCATGATGTCCTGGAGTTCCACAAAGCCTTTTACTTCATCCAAGAAAAATGCAAGCAAGATGCGTTCATTCTGAGGTGGGTGGGGCTGGCCCATCGAACCCCAAAAGAAAGAAGCTTGAGCCTATGAAGGGGAAAACCACAATCTTCCAATATTCAGTTGTAAACCACCCTGGCAATAATCTCAACGTTTAAACTCAATTTTCAAACTTCCAAAACGTCGTCTTTACACCTGGAAATCACCAGCAGATACACCTGAATGAGTTATTCGTAACCAAATAGACTTCATATGTATAAATAAGAGATACAGAAATTCAGTATTAGCAATAAAAACATATCCAGGCGCAGATGTACCAACAGATCACAATATTTTAGTAGGAAAAATAAGACTGAGATTAAAAAGAGTTGCAAGGACGAATAAGCAAACAGTTACTATTGATAGAGAAACGATGCTAAATTATACTGTAAAACAAGAAAATAACTAGTATATTAGAACAATAAATGAAGTTAACATCAAGCAAAGAAGAAAGTACTGAGGAAAACTGGACGAGAATTAAAGACATCTTAAAGACTGTTCAAGAAACAAAATTGAGTGCGCTAAAAGCAAGAAATAAACAATGATGGATGACAGAAGAAATACTGAGACTTATGGATCAAAGAAGAGAAGTCAGAAATAAAGATAAAAACGAATACAAGAGGATCCACGCAATAATCAGGCAGAAGATAAGACACGCGAAAACACAATTTTGTAGTAAAGAATGTAATGAAATTTAACAATATGAAAAGAAACACGATACATTTCATCTGCACAAGAAATTAAAAAAGGTCGCTGGAAACAAACGGAAACAAGTATCCCAAAGTTTAGAAGACAGAAACAGACACAGAATATTAGACATCAATGAAAAGTTAAAAGAATGGAAAAACTACATTTTTGAATTATTTGAAGATGAGAGAGTAGAACACTATACACCGATTGCTATATCAGGTCCATATATAACAGAAAGTGAGGTTACACGTTCAATACAAACGGCAAAAAATGGAAAAGCACTTGGCCCCGATGAAGTAAGTGCTAAAATATTAAAGTTTTTGGGAGAAAATGGAATTAAAGCTCTGTGTAATCTCTTTAACAGAATTTATGACACTGGGATATTACCAATTGATTGGTTAAAGTCGACATTTGTCACAATACCTAAGAAACATCGTCCAAAGACAAGCGGTGATTATCGGACAATAAGTCACGTTTTGAAGATCTTCCTGCGAGTACTACACAGCAGAATTTACACGCTGTTAGAGGACAGAATTAGCAATACTCAATTTTTGTTTAGGAGTGGCTTGGGTATAAAAAAAGCCTTGTTTAGTAGACAGGTGCTAGTACAGAGATGCAGAGATATAAATCAAAATGTGTACATTTGTGCAATCGATTTTGAAAAAGCTTTTGATAAAGTCCGACATAACAAAATGTTAGAAATATTAGAAACAGCTGGATTGGACGATAAAGATCTACAAATAATTACAAATCTATACTGGCATCAAGTGGCAAGAATAAAGGTTGAACAAGAACTGTCAGATGAAATAAATATAAAAAGAGGAGTGAGACAAGGCTGTATATTGTCGCCTTTACTTTTTAATTTATATTCGGAGGAAATATTTAAGAAAGCTTTAATGGAGACACCCGAAGGTATTATTGTGAATGGAGTAACCGTTAACAATATTAGATATGCCGACGATACCTTAGTCCTTGCCAATTGCGGAGAAGACCTTCTAAATCTAATGAGCAAAATAAAACAGACTTGTGATCAGTATGGATTAAAACTCAACGTTAAGAAAACTAAATATATGATAGTTAGCAAACAAAATTATATACAGGATGACGGTATAAAAGTCGGAGATGCCACACTGAACAGAGTAGAGAAACTCGTGTATCTCGGCAGTAATATCAATGAGAGCTGGGATCCAACCGCAGAAATTAAAAGCCGAATAGAACAAGCCCAAGCTGCCTTTGTAAAAATGAGAAACGTACTTTGCAGTCAAGATCTTAGCATTGACCTTAGAGTTCGTATGGCATCTTGCTACATCTTTCTTGTCCTGCTGTATGGAGTGGAAGCGTGGACTCGTACTGAGGCTATGCTTAAACGCTTAACAGCCTTTGAGATGTAGGTATACAGGCGACTACTGAAAATAAGCTGGGTCGACAGAGTTAGAAATGAGAAGGTCCTTAGACGGCTGAGCCAAAAAATACAACTGGTCAATATAATAAAGAAACGCAAGCTGGAATACTTCGGTCACATTATGAGACACCCTGAAAAATATGATCTTTTACATCTGATCATTCAGGGAAAGATCAAAGGTAATCGTGGTCCTGGTAGACGAAGAACATCATGGCTGAAAAATCTAAGGCAATGGTATGGAAAATCAACTACATCGTTATTTAGAGCAGCTGTCAATAAAGTCACGATAGCGAATATGGTAGCCAACGTGATATCCAACGATCGATAACGGTCATGAAACTAGAAGAAGAAGGAGGAGGAATTGATCCGAGACCGTAAAATGGTAGGTATGCTGGACACAAAATCATCAGAAAAATTACAGTTAAAAGAAATCCTAACATTATAGCAACGTATACTGAAAGCTAGGCAAGCAGGGTTGCAGGAGAGCTAAGGATAGCAGTGCAGAACAGTTTAACAAAAGACATCGGACCAGAACGTTACCGGATCTAACAATTGGGGAATATGTCTGGGTAACTGATCTTAGGATTTATGCTAAAGTTGTGGATCTTTTAGATCAACCTAGATCTTATTTAATAGAATCAAATTCAGGCCAGCTTTATCGACGTAATAGGTAGCATTTAATACCAGCACATTATTACGTAAAACCCAGTCGGTTTTCTCCTTGCTAGCTGAATGTTCTTGGGCATAATATTGATTCTCTTAGCGTGAATAGCGCATACATTGGTATCTACAAACAAATTTACCAAATATGCTTCACTCGCTTCCTGTAAAGCCATAACTGCAGAACATTGAAAACGTAAATCTGTTTTAAAATCTTGTGCAATTTCACGGACAAGACGTTGGAAAGTTAGTTTTCTGATAAGTAATTCATTAGTTTTCTGGTAACGTCTAATTTCACGAAGAACTACGGTACCTGGCCTGTAAAGATGAGGTATTTTAACTCCTTCAGTGGCAGGTGCACTCTTACGAGCAGTTTTGGTTGCTAACTGTTTACATGGTGCTTTACCACCAGTGGATTTTCGGGCTGTTTGCTTTGTACGTGCCATTATTTCTCGCGGCTACTGAGCTTGTGGGTGTGTGCCGCCACTGTCTGTTGAAAACATAAAAAATGCTTATGTACATACAAAATGTATGTATGAACTACTGTTATATTTATTTACGAGGACAGAGTTTACCCTTTCAATTTTATGTAACTCTTAAAGAAAACTAAGAATGGTTATCGTAACTGTATTCAATTTTTGATATTTACCAAACCAATTTAATTGATAACATTTTCAAATTTTATATTTTTCTCCATCTTAATACTGGTAAAGGCTATACTACAATGTTTGGAAATAAATTAAGTTTTTATAGTTTTCTAACAGTTACCGTTTTATGTGCTATTGTTACTACGTCAGCGTCTACTGAAATAGCCAAAAGTAGGGTCAGAAGGAGGGTGGTCTTTACGAAGAGCAGTAAATATTTTGTAAGTACTTAATACCCGAATTTCTATTTTACGAGAATTTGGTCATTATTATTACATTTTATACAAATTGTGTACAAAATCTTTTCGGTAAAATATGTATTTGGATCTTTAGTGAGACCAAATGATGTGTACCAATATAAAAAATTGAGGTTAGAAAATATTGAAGATTTAAAAGGAGTTACATACAAATATCTAGCCTAATACTGTAGTTGTATAGTTTATTGAAGCAAAGTGGGTAATTAGAAATTCTCGAGAATATAATTAAAATATTTAGAGGGTGTTCCAATTGGGACTTCTGAACTTTGACAGTTGGTAGCATCCATATTGTTGAAGTTACAACTGTCAAATTAGCTGTCAATTATTCAGTCTGTTTTGCAAAATTATCATGGATGAATACAGCGTATAACAACAAGTGCAAATGATAAAATTGTTTTATCAAAATAGGGGCTTTAACAGGGCAACTTTCCGAACGCTTCGCTCAATTTACGATCGCCATAATCGTCCTACCGAGAGAACTATTCGCAGTAAAGTAGATAAATTTGAGTTGACTGGTTCAGTAAACAGCTGAACGCAGAATGGGCTTTGAATATTCTATCAGAACTAGCCTCTAACGTCCACTGCTGAACATAGGCCTCTCGCATGCTTTTCCTTTTGATCCGATTTTGCTCCATCTGAATCCAATTTGTAGTAACTCTTTTTATGTCATCTGTCCATCTTGTTGGTAGTCGACCTCTATTTCTGTTAGCTTGTATTCGGGGTCTCCATTCCAAAATTCTTTTTGTCCACCGGTCATCAACTGATCTTGCTACATGACCTGCCCAGTTCCACTTTAGTGTTGTTATCCTTTCAATAACGTCTGCTACTCCTGATCTATTGCGTATAGTAGCATTGGGTATTCTATAACGTAGAGAAATCCCTAACATTATTCTCTCCATTGCAACTTTCTTAACTCCATTCCGCAACTTGTAGTTTACTCACTGTTGTTCTTGTGAGTGTTAGGGTTTATGCGCCGTAGATCATCACTACTACTATTAAGTCTTACACAGGCTGTAGCATGCTGATAGATGTATCTGATGAGGAATATGTATCAGTGATCTATTCTATAATGTGTTAGAGCTTGGAGCATTTCACTTTGATTGACCGTATCAAATGCTTTTTCAAAATCGACAAAGATAAGGATCAGGGGTCTATTATATTCAATGGTTTTTTCAATTAACGACAATTAACGATTGCAAATGATCATTTGTTCGGTATCCAGCTCTATATCCTGCTTGCTCGCAAGGTTGATAGAAGTCTAGTTTTGATATCAACCTATTAGTTATTACCTTCATATACAACTTATAAACGTGAGATAACAAGCTAATAGGTCTATAGTTCTTTAGTTCTGTTTTAAATCCCTTTTTGTGCATGACTACTATAACAGCTTTATTCCATTGAGATGGTGTAACCTCTTTTGAATGACATAAGTTATATAATTGCGTCAATGGTTTCAATACTTTTTTTCCTCCTGCTTTAACTGCCTCAATAACAATTTGGTCATCACTAGCTGCTTTATTGTTTTTCATTCGATTTAATGACTTTGAGACTTCTTTGATTGTTATTTCTGGGATATCGTCTGAACCCACATTCTGGATCATTTCGATCTGCGAGCTTGACAATATTTTTCTTACCTAGAGCCTGACATGATCGACTATGAAAAGGCATTTGACAGAGTTCAACATCAAAAGATGATAAACATTTTAAAAGAGGCAGACCTGGATGACAAAGACCTCAGAATAATTTCAAAACTCTACTGGAATCAGACCGCTTACATGAAAATTAACGGAGAAGAAACAGATCACATAAAAATACTACGTGGAGTTATACAGGGATGTATCCTATCGCCGTTGATATTTAATATGTACTCAGAGAAAATTTTTAACGAGGCTCTTTACGGAATAGACGAAGGCATCCTTCTAAATGGTGAAAGAGTAAACAATGTTAGATATACCGACGACACCATGGTGATAGCAGATAGTTTAGAGGGACTTCAGAGGCTAATGGACAGAATAAACGAGTGCAGTCAACAGTACGGACTGAACATTAATAACCACAAAACGAAACAAATGATTATCAGCAAGGAGAATATAAACGGGGCTCATCTATATATTAATGGGACGCAGATAGAGCGAGTAAAACAGTATTGTTACCTGGGAACTATTATTAACGAACAGTGGAGCAATTTACTGGAAATAAAGTGCCGCATAGGAAAGGCAAGAACGGTCTTTAACAAAATGAGCGCCATCTTCAAAAGTCACAACATATCCCTTGATACAAAAATGAGACATTTAAGATGCTATGTTTTCTCTGTGTTGTTGTACGGGGCGGAGGCATGGACGCTTACAGACAACACTATTAAAAAACTTGAAGCATTTGAGATGTGGCTTTATAGAAGAATGCTGAGAATATCATGGACAGCCAGGATCACGAACAAGGAAGTTCTAGGAAAAATGAAGAAGGAACCAGAGATTGTGTTTACGATCAAACGCATAAAATTGCAATATCTGGGACACGTTATGAGAAATCGGCACCGTTACTCCCTGCTACAGTCTATATTGCAAGGTAAAGTCAAAGGTAAGCAAGGACCCGGTAGAATGAGAATATCATGGCTGCGGAATTTAAGAACATGGTTTAAGAAAACCTCAACGGAGCTGTTTCGAGCCGCAGCGAGCAAGGTTAGGATTGCCAATATGATTTCCAACATCTGAAACGGATAGGAACCAGAAGAAGAAGAAGAGCCTGGCATCTCTTCAGCACCTTTAAACTTTTATTTTCCTCGACAACCGTTGTAGACAATCTTTTTTGTGTTATATTGTCGTACGTCCTTTCTCACTGCTTTATTAATATCTTTATTAAGTTGTTGTAGTACGCGTACATTTTCTCTGCGTTCTTAATAGTTTTTATTAAGTTATCATTTAAGGTTTAGACATCCATAACGTCTATATTTGTTGTCTCTAGACATCTCAGAATTTCCTCTATGATGGGCATGGTGTATAGGATTCCATCCTATTGGGAGTGTTTTTGTTATCATTTTGTATCTTTGTTTTTGGAGATTTAGCATGATCTTGGCTCTTACCATTCTATGATCAACTCCACCTAGAAAAGCTATTAAGAACTGTTACATCATGATTCATGGACCATGTCTTTGTTGTTGGTTAAGACAAAATCAATTTCATTTTTGGTGACTCCCTTTGGACTTGCCCAGGTCCATTTTCTTTGGGGACTTTTTTTTGAAAAAGCTATTCATTGCAAAGAGGCCATTTCGTACCAAGAAACTTAAAAACATATCGCCTCTTTCATTTCTTTGTCCGAATCCGTAGGGACCTATTGCAACTTCGGTCTCGTCCAGTTTACATCCCAACTTAGCATAGTAAAGTCCCCCATTACTAGGTTGTGTATAGTAGGCGCCAGTTTTACTGCATTTTCTAGGTCTTCATAAAATGTTTCCACTTCCTCGTCCGAGTGTGTAGGTGTAGATGCATAGGCTTGAATTATTTTAAGGCTGTTTTTTTTTGTTAAGCTTCAGTATACAGAGTATTATTCTTGGGTTGATACGCTTAAGTTGTTGGATATTTTTAGTGTGTTTCTTATGTATAAGAAGTCCAACTCCTCCTATTTTTTTGTTTCCCATATAGAAAAGTTGACGCCCTTATTTAAGAGTTATACAGTCTTCTTCTTCGCGTTTTACTTCACAGAGACCCATAACGTCCCATTTTATGTGTTTTAACTCTTCTTCTAATTCTGTTAGTGGCAACCAGTAACAGAAAATGAAAATCCAAAATAAGTGTATAATCACAAAACATGCTGAAACAAAGAAAAGATCCACTGAGACAAAGCAAAAGAGACAATGCAGAATTTAAGGAACTTAATCGAGCAATAAGAAGAGATAAAAGAGAACATTAAAAGAAGATGTGTGTCGAAGATGTGATTAGATGGATATGAGCACAACGCCTTAAATGAAGCGATCATGTCGACATAATAGAATAAGAAAGAATCGCAAAATGGGCAGAAACGCATAAATAAAATAATACAAATAATACAAAAAGATTACTAGGAAGACCTCCCCCAGAGGCGGCATAACAGCTGGATATCAACATCACAAGAGCCGGTACCATAGAATAAACAGAATTCTGTCCTACAACAACAACCAGAAAAACATAAACATATTATATCCATTTCTTATTGCCTTAGCCAGATTTCTTTCTTGGCTATCTTTTGCAGAGCGAACTTTCTCTTGATCGATATCGCAGACTTATTCTATTCTATTCTATTAACTCGATCTTTTCGTATTACTTATGTTAAAGTTTTATTGTACTTGAACTCGTTGGACGAAATGTAATTTAGATTAGAAAGTGCACATTTTTTTAATTGTATCAATCTTCTTCTTACGGTGCCTTATCCTTAAGGACGTTGGCCATTACATTTGCCCATTTAATCTTATTTGTAGCAGCCCTGAATAGTTCTATGGAGGTCATGTTTGTCCATTGCCGTAGGTTTTTAAGCCAAGAGTTGCGTCTTCTTCCTGGTCCTCTTTTGCTATTG